CTCTCATGCCCCCTTGTAAAAAAGCACTCACATATATCGGGCGGAAACAACCAGGCTCCCCTATATCAACTTCTAACAATGGATCTTGAGCCTCCATTGTCCTGTCTTCTTTGACCAGTGGATCTTCCCATTCATCTATACAATTTGAGGCTTCAACCTTATGATGCGCCATTTTCGCCAAATATGTAAAATACCTTTCACAACTTCTTGCAATACTGACTCGCTTTCCATATAGAGTATGTAATTCTTCCAATGCCAAGCTTGACTTAGGGATCCATTCAGCTTTCACATCCCCGAAGCGGCAATAAGCAAGGGACTGTGGATCTGTCCCTGGTGTTTCAACAGCATAACCTTCATGTGCACAATCTCGATACTTTCGGCAAATGTCAGTCCACCCGATTGAAGCATATCCCGAATCTGCCTCAACATATTCCACTTTCTCGCCATTCCAGAATGCCAAGACTTGATGCAAAGTTGAAGGTACGCACTGATTAGAGTGTATCCAATCTCTTTCGAGTAGCAGATTATATGAACCATCAGACTCTATCACAAAAAAAGTCGTTTTGGACGACTTGGACCCTATAATCAAGTCCAGCACTATTGCCCCCTTGACTTTGGTAACTTCCCCAAGAAAATCAGCCAACTGAACATTGGAAGGGATAATGTCATCATCGTCCTTCCCTAATTTCTTGAAGTACTTGTAAGATACGAGGTTCAAAGTGGCTCCGGCATCTACGAAAATTTTACCGACAGACCTACCATTGACCTTTCCTGAAATAACCAAGGATCTTAGATGCTTTGTTTTTTCAGAAGGTACCTTATCAAACTTAATGGCTTCCTTGTCGGGAAACTGGAATTCTGCCATGGCTATCTCCTTTTCCGAAATGTGTTCGGTATCTTCTTCCACTACCAAATTAGTTCCATACTCCGCTGGAAGTTTAGCATGGATCATGTTTATCCGTAATGTATGATCATATTTCTTTGACATTTTGGGGTAGCCAATTCGGTAACTCCTGTCATTTCTTCGTGATCATTTAGGACCCAAGTTCTTTTGCCCCACCTTTCCTTGATGTCTTGGATTGAGGGCTACGGTGAACTGCCCAAAATTAACTGTCTGAGGAGCTTGTCAAACTTCTTCTTATCTCATTTCAACTCGAGAGCTATTTCCCAAATCCCCTGGCTCTGATTTAATCTGATCTTTTTGATCAGGGTTTCTCTTCCAGACCCAATTACCTTTCTTACTGACAGATGTGAAAGGTAAATCCTGCTTTGCTGTACTTTTAGCTCGGCTATTTTGGAAATTCCTTTGCCTGCTTTTCATCCGCTGAAATCGCCTCTTGATGGTTCTATAAGACGCTTGTCCTGGCGATTTAACTATTGACCATTTTCCTTCGGGAGGATTGTGTGGCACCTTAACTGTTTCTCGCTTGTGGATTTCCTGGGAATTTGATGGTGGTGGATCATCAAACTCATCTCCCCAGCTAGTCGGCACAATTGGTAATGACGGAGGTGTATAGTCATCCGTATCTCCGTAATAGACCACATAGTCAAACTTCCCACTAGGTTCTCCAAGCAATCCGACTTTAGGATCACCTTCTTTATATCGTTGCCATAAATTCTTTTTCTTTGCAGGCTTGGGTAATGTTTCTTTTTCTTCATGAACCTGAGTGGTTGATTCCCGAAGTGGGAAAGCTGGTTGCGACGAATCATGGTGATATTCCTTCCTCTCATATCTACGACTAACATCTTTTCTTTCGGGAACATGTGCTGTTTGTCTGGATTGAACTTCCTAATCTCTAGCTTGTACCATACAATTTTCGGTAGTAACAATCTCAGATTTTACCTGTGGTCTACCTATTCTGCGGACAAACGATTCCGATCGATATCTCCCCCTTGTTCCTCTCATGTATTGGAACTTGGGTATTTCCCGATCCTGATGAATTAGCTCTTGGTAACAACGAGTGCAAAGTTGCTTGTTATCGTCGCCTGTCATATCTCGTATGTTAACCATACTAATCATGTTTGGGAAAGGGTCTGTGTCTACTTCCATTAGGGCCTTGCCTTTGTCTTCAGCAAACTTAATTTTGCCTTGGCGAATTGCCTCTTGAATAGTCTTCCTAAATACAATGCAATTCACCGTATCATGAGTTGTAGAGTGATGCCACTTGTAATACCTCTTATCTATCATTTCCTCCTTTGGCGGAATTATTTGCCCTTCAGATAACTTGATCACTCCATCCTTCAACAACAGGTCAAATATTTCATCCAACTTGTAGATGTCGAAGGAGTAGTTATTTGTCTCCTTAGCCTTGAACTTGGATGCATCTCTCATCCTGGCTGGCTTTAGTGCTGGGCACACATATGGTTTTTCAAGCACCATAGTTGCTACGGCTATTTCATTCTCCTCTTTGGCTATATCACCTTGTTCGGTATTTTCAGCAAATGCCACTGTATGCCGATTGTCCTTATTCGGCTTCTTATCTTTCTCCTTCAACAAGTGTTCGTACTTGAAAACCCGTGCGTGCAACTGAAAGAGATCGTCAAATGCTTGTCCTTCAAATCTTTCTTTAAGGTTGAACCTCAAGCCATTAAAAGCCAAATCCGTGAACTCCTTTTCGGTAAGTGACGTTAAACATCGGTTTCTAGATTTCTTGAAACGTGCAATAAACTGATCTACCGTTTCGGTACCATATTGATACATCCTGGCCAAATCGGCTACCGTTATCTTTGGTACTGTTCGGTAAAATTGAGAATGGAACTGCCTTTCCATCTCCGTCTATGTCTGAATAGAATTCGCATGCAAATTCGTATTCCAAGTAAACGCTGTTTTTGACAAAGACAGTAGGAACAACATTAACCTTAAATACTCATTAGTTCCAGCTTCTCCACATTGTGCTAAGAACCAACCCACATGTTCCACAGTTAACTGATCTTCTTCTCCTGTAAATACAGCAAAATCTGGCATATTGAAACCCCTCGGATATGGTATATTGTCAACCCAATCGGGATGTGGTTTCCTATACACTGGCCTTTGCATTCCTCTCTCTGCTCCCAATTGTTGCATTACCAATTCTGCAACTCTATCTGGGTTCCGTGGCCTTAAATTTTGTTGGCCTAACCAAGGATCTTGACCTCTAGGATCGAACTGTTGAAGTTGATTCACCCCTTGCTGCTCCACGTTGAAATTAACCGGTAGTGGTGGTCTATAAAGAGGATTTTCTATCACATGAGGATATGGTTGAGGCGCAGGTGGTCTGATATGGTCAACATTAGGCATATTCACTGGTAGAGGTACATTCATCACTGATGGTGCATTTGTGGCCATGGAATTAATCATATTAACCTCATTTGAGGCATTTTGAGGGAATTATAAGCACTCACACTATTCACAAGGTTTATAGGGGTAGAATTCTCTGGCCTTGGTATAATTCTAACAGGAGGTTGAGAATTTGATCCCCCATTACCATTATATCCAACATGAGGAGGTCCCGATGTTGGTGGGAATGATGTTGTCCCAGAAGGATTTGTATAAAAGGGTGGAACTTGAGAAGATGAACTGGGACGCGATATTACCTCATTTATAGCATTGATCACCATGGGCTTTATCACATCAGTTACATGTCGCACCATATGATTGGTAAGATCGTTCTGCTGTTCCTCAAACATCCTTTTTATCGTGGCTACCAAGGTATTATCTGGTGCCAACACACGGGCTTGTTCTTCAGTTAATTGCCGAGGAATGTCGGCATTCTCCTCTACTTGATTCGCCACAGAGTGTTCAGAACGTGCTTCATCAACTGGATTGTTGACGTTGCCGACCGGTATTCCTTCAAATTGCCTAGTTCTCACCATTTCTCCAAATCTTACCACGCAGGTCCCACCGGGCGTGCCAAAAAGATGTTCGCTCGCTTTACAACGAGGAATATCCTTCACCGAAACTTCGATTTTCGATTTTTATTAAAGTAGGTTCTGTGGCTTGATTTCTAGGAAAATCGTGGCGAAAAACAGAGTGTAGTGCAAGGTTATATGGAAGCGGGTAGAAATTGAGTGGATTGAAAATGGATCTGAGATCAACAAAGTTTCTAACTATGTTACAATACTCCTATGAAAGTTGTAAAAGACTTGAAGGTTAACTAAAGCTACAGGAAGCTGTAAACGCAGGAAGTAAAAATGCAAAGGAAACTAAAGTGCATATAAGCTTAAGTGTTTTTGCATTGTTGTCGATCCTTCTTTTCTTCTTTCTTCTGAGTATTTATATCTCCTCCTATCCTGTAACTGCTTGTCGGTTACTTCTTTGTTTTCGAACTTTGAATCTTGGCGCTTTCAATAACTGCCTTATCTACCCACGTTTTCCAATTTCATTGTCCACCAAAATTGATCTCAACCGCTGGGATGACTTCCAATTTGGATAAATAATCTCCCACGATCTGCTCGTGCTCACTATCTCCGCTTTTTGCTCATAACTTCCTGTTGTCACGATTCACGTGGCTGGGTTGTGATCTTGCCGATTTTCGGTAGCTTCAACATTTTCCGAAATGTAAACTTTTCATGTTTCGGTAAAATTACCGATTCTCTCCAATCACAGAATTCGGGACATGGTGCCATTCACGCTTACTACATTCCCGAATTTTATCCAAACGTACTTCGGCAGACGACTGAGCTCCATTGTCCGTCGGATTTTGACATTAAACTGACTTGACATCCATGCCGATTTTGGTGTAAACAACACCCTTAATCAAAATAATTGATAGTGGTATCAAACACTAATATATTTCACTTTTTGCCCATCGAGCACCCCAATTCTATTTTGAAATATATTTCGATCGAAGGTCATTTCGGCAAATGTTCAAGAGGGGTCGATACTTATAAGTATAAATAAGTAACTGTGGCTAATAAATGCATAAAAATCACAGTAGGCCAGTAATTGAATAAGTAACTTTTCCTTAAGAGCCTAGAAAAAGAAAAGGAATTATTTAGTGACAGTTATAAAGAGAGAGCACTTACATGAGCCCTCAAGATGCGTAATGAGGCGTTGTGGTCCGACATGGACTTGAGGCTGGGAGGGATCTCGACCATGCAAACCAAGGAGTGCCATTGGCCTCGATTCAAAGAGTCACCCACATACACCGACCTCTTGTTCCTCAGCTTCTCCAACAATGCTGTCGCATCGAATCTAACCACATTTTCAGTCACGGAAGCAGAAAAAATAGCAACGAGCACACTATGATGCTAATGCATTCTTTAGATCAATAGAAGACCAAGAGAAGTGAGGAATGGAGTGCGCACAAGTGCTTATACCTGGGAAGGTCACAGCCATGGGGTTGCCACCTCCGTTTTTGGTACTTCATGTCCTTCCTCCCGTGAGCCTCGCATGCGATCTCTTCTGACATGTACGAGCATTGCTTCTCCTTGTACAGTGGGTACGACACGTCGTCGTACACCCACCGCCCGGAGAACAAGTCGCATTGACGGGTCGGTACCGTCGGTGTCGAGCTCCCGAGTCCAGGCCGGTCGCGCGAGAGGCATACGGTGGAGATGACAAGGACGGCGACGAGCAGAGCCACCAGGGAGTGGAAGCTGCCGGTTACTGAAGACGCCCAAGTGGGTGGTGCGATTGCAACCACCTGAGATCTGTTTGCCATGTTATTGACGCTCTCCTCCTCTCTCTCTCTTCCTTCTTCAGCCTTCTTCTTGGCTTGTTGCTGAGGAGGCTCCTACTTTCTTCTGTGGTAGGATAACTGGGGGAGGCAATGTTGACCGAGATTGGATTCCGATGCATCGGTTCCTCAAACTTCAAAGAGGAGAGGAAAAAGAGTCCACCGTGCTGCTATGAAGAAATATTTAAAAAGATGGACTACTGAACTGCCCCGGAAATAAGGAGTTTTTTCACGTGCCACGCGTATGCATCTAATTATTCAATTCGAAGGCTCGAAAGTAAAATAATTCAGTTAGTCTCCCCAGATGATTAGTTTTTTTTTTTTTTTTCATGTTCTTAGTAAACAAAAGAACATAATTTAATGATCACGTGCAAAGCACCCCCACTAAGCACGTTAATTTGTTTATACATTTTGCAGGGGGACATTAGATATTTCAAAAGTATAGATTCGCTTCTCTCATGTGATGGTGGCAAGAGGAGAAAAGGCTATACATGTACCAAGAACATGTAATCTTTTGCGATTGATAAATTGATTAGAGTTGTTATACAGTTCACAAGATGTGAAATATGATTTCCATCGATGAGGCGATATCTAACTTCGATTTGAGTTGCTATAATTCTTTAAAAGTTAATGCTAGACATAAATTACTCGGTACAATGAAATTTGCAAAATAGAGATTTCATTGTTTAAGAAAACCATGCTGGCACAATTATTGTCTGGTTTATAAATTTTTAAGCTTTTGGCTTATTGTGTACTATCAATCTTCATTAGAATATTCGGCGCAACGTGGCACGTATCCGAATGTTGTGGTAGCGTTGCAGTGGTGTTCGCCAGTAGCCGGTGGCGTGGTACCACATGTCATCCAGACTGTCCAACCATTGCCAGGCCCACGAGCTTAGCCTACTGAACGACGGAGGGTCAGATTTTACCTACCAAAGAAGAATTAGCGGGAAAGAAGTATTGTAAATGGCATCATTCATGGAGCTATGCCACCAATGACTGTCTTGTATTCAAGAGAAACGTCCAGGAAGCTATTAAGCAAGGGAAGATAAAATTCTCTGAGGACAAAGGTAGTCCCCGATGGAAGTTGATGCTGATCCTTTTCCTGTAATAGCAGGGATGGTGTCATTAAGGACAAAGACCAGGGGGCATCAGCCGTATCGTTTTTGCGAAAAGTGTAAACAACCGTTGGAACAAGAGAAACATTACTTCGACAGTCAAAGACGTCCGTCTGGTGAAGTTGTCGATGGATTCCGCGACTTGGTCCTCACTGATTCATATGATGAACAAACTCCTTCTAGGGGTGTTAGTCATCATAGAAGCCATCGAGGCCGTAATAAGGCTTTTAAGTCATTCAAGTAAAGGTACGAAGAAAGTGATCCGATTATTGGTACTTTGGGAGAGCCTAGTGGTAAATTTGATTATTATGTTAGTTATGCTCCACCACCTTCATACAATAAGAAGATTGAGCCAAGTGGATGGGGTTCTAACTTCCCTGATCGAGAAGATCTTCACACAGACCCTCATCCACCACGTCGACAAACTCTGAAAGTGCCAAGAAACCCACTTATAGGTCAATGGTATGAGGTCCGCCGAACTCAGAATCGCAGTTCAAATCTGACGCGGACTCAAAAAAGGAGAATGCTAAGGAAAAGAAAATAGTATCAGCTCCAACAACAAGTAAGTCAAGTTCACATCAAGCAGGTTAGACCAACTTTGATCGCAGAATAGAAGGTCAATCCAAAGTACCCTAAGCGTAGAAACTTAGTCTGGAAAAGAAAACCAGGAATTCAAGCGTCAACACCTGATCGACCTTAGTAGTCTTTACCAAAGCAAGACATTAAGCCTGCGCAATGTGAACTACAACAATTGTCAAGATCAATCTCGTCATTAAGTTCTTGCATGGTTCGAGTATGTCTTCCATCGAACCTTTGGGTTATGACGGCGGAGCCAGATCATCTGGTAGAAGTTACAATGGAAGAGAAAGAAAAAGTAGAATTTCACTTTGATATAGAGGAAGTGGTTGAGTTCGAAAAACCTCCACCCAAGGGTTCAAACCATTTAAAGGCTCTGAATATCAACGCAAAAGTTAATGGCCGACCAGTGTCTCGAGTGTTAGTAGACGGGGGATCTACACTGAATCTCATCCCATATCGTTTCTATAAGAAACTGGGAAGACGTGACGAGGAGATTATTCCATCGAACATCCAGTTGTCCGACTTTACTGGAGAAATCTCCGAAGTTAAAGGAATTTTCATTGCTGACTTAACCGTGGGCACCAAAATTTCCAGGACGTCCTTTTATGTGGTTGATGCAGATGGATCTTACAATTTACTATTAGGCCGAGATTGGATCCATGGCAATCAATGGGTACCATCAACTCTCTATCAGATGCTAGCATTTTGGAATGGAGATAAGGTAGAATACATCAAAACAAACACCAAGTCACAGACAACCTATGCACATGCATCTCCAACTCGCTAATCGGCACTGGAAGGTAATATATTCGTCAGTAAGCCACCTCTCATTGACCCCAATAGTATTGCATTCTGCCGTTTCGACAAAGGGATCGTTGAGTGGGTCCTGAAGAGTCAACTGGCAGCACAATTAAATGAGATTGTCCATGGAGAACCTTATATTGTCAAAAGACCTCATTGAGAGGTACTCGGCCTATCGGACCGAGCTCGCAGAACAATCCACAGAAGCTGTCAATGGAATCCTTGAGTTTGAAGAGTCACCTATAAAAGAAATTGAAAAATCAATTGAAACTCAAGACCCGTTACAAGAGGTCAACCTCGGGCTAGGCAATGAACATCGACCTATTTACATTAGTTCGTTGATCGATGATGACTTCAAAGCTCAGTTGATAAGACTCCCGAAGAAGTATAGGGATTGTTTTGCCTGGGACTATAAAGAAATGTCAAGATTAAGCAGAGATGTCGTCCAACACCGATTACCCATAAAAAATGAGTTTAGGCCTCATAAACAGCCGCCCATACGATTCGCCCCTGAGGTTATCCTTAAAGTAAAAGATGAAGTCGAGCGATTGCTAGCAGCAGGGTTTATTAGAACGGCATGGTACGTCGAGTGGTTGTCTAACATAGTCCCGGTAAAGAAAAAGAATGGGAAGTTACGTGTCTGCATTGATTTCTGAGACTTAAATGCAGCCACGCCCAAGGATGAGTACCAGATGCTAATGGCGGATATGTTAGTTGACTCGGCTTCTGGAAATGAAATTATGTCATTAATGGATGGTCATTCAGGCTACAATCAAATATTCATTGCTAAATAGGACGTCCATAAAACTGCATTCAGGTGTCCTGGGGCCATTGACACTTTTGAATAGCTCGTCATGCCATTTGGATTAAAGAATGCAGGGGCAACTTAGCAAAGAGCCATGAACTTTGTTTTTCATGACATGATTGGAGAATTTATGGAAGTCTATATTGATGACATTATTGTCAAATCAGACCAGGTATGTCATTTAAATTATTTAGAACAAGCTTTTATTAGGATGCAGAAATTTGACCTGAAAATGAATTCATTGAAATGCGCTTTTGGAGTAAGGGCTGGTAACTTCTTAGGGTTCTTGGTTAATCAAAGAGGAATTGAAATCGATAAGAATAAAACTAAGGCCATCTTGGAATTGCCGCCCCCCACAACCAAAAAGCAACTTCATATGATTTTAGGAAAGATAAATTTTTTGCGTCGATTCATCGCTAACCTGTCAGGAAAAATTGAGATGTTTTCCCCATTGTTGAAGTTGAAAAGTCAAGAAAAGTTTGTATGGGAAGACAAACATCAACATGCTTTTGACCAAGTCAAGCAGTACTTGATTAATCCGCCAGTATTGATGCCGCCAAGAGCGGGTCAACCATTGAAATTGTACTTGGCCGCTACCGATACTACCATCGGATGTATGCTGGCGCAGGAGAATGGTGAAGGCAAAGAGCAAGCGGTGTATTATTTGAGTCGGATGTTGAATGATCCTGAGATAAGATACACTGCGATTGAGAAGTTATGCTTGTCATTATTTTATGCATGTACAAAATTACGTCATTATATGCTGCCGACTACAATACATGTGATATGTAAAACAGACGTGATTAAGTACATGTTGACTCGGCCTATTGTTAAAGGCCGAATTGCCATGTGGGCGTTTGTTTTGACCGAAATAAATCTGGTCTATGTACCACTTAAAGCAATAAAAGGACAAGCCATAGCAGATTTCATTACGGAATATCCTGGAGCACGAGATGAAAGTTGTGAGGGATACGTTCACATGGTCCCATGGCAGCTTTACTTCGATGGATCCAGTATCCCTGGGTCTGCTAGGGCTGGGATCATGATAATATCCCCTCATGGACAGAAAACGAAACTTATGTTCAAAATGAATTTTGAATGTTCCAATAATCAGGCGGAATATGAGGCCTTAATTGTTGGCTTAAACATCTTGGCCAACATGAGAATACATTTCGTCAAAGTTATAGGAGATTCTCAATTGGTAATAAAGCAATTATCTGGGGAGTATCAGTGTCTTAATGAGAATATTATATCTTATTATTCACTGGCCAAAGAGCTCCTAGATCACTTTGAGTTGATCCATATTAAAAGAGAGCATAACGCGGAGGCCAATAATTTGGCACAAATGGCTTCCGGTTATAAAATATCAGAAGAGCTTGTTGACCATATGATTACCCAGACCAAGGTTCTACCATCGATGAACAATAGAGTTATGTTTACACAATCGACAGAAACTCTTGTCGACAATACGACTGTTGACGAAGTAGTAACCCAAGATTGGAGAACTCCATTTATAGAGTATCTCAACAACCCAGTCTCTACTGATAAAAATTTCAAAAGAAAAGCCTTTAATTATTTGATGATTGGAGGCGAATTATATCGTAAGACTGTGGATGGGCTATTACTCAAATGTTTGGGACGACAAGAATCTGTGATAGCAATGGCCGAGGTTCATGAAGGCA